AAAATAGCCAGGCATTGTGGTGGGCGCCTGTAGTCCCAGCTACTTGGGAGGCTGAGGCAAGAGAATCACCTAAGCCCAGGAGTTGGAGGTTGCTGTGAGCTATGATGCAACAGCATCTACCGAGGGCAACAAAATGAGACTCTGTCTCAAAAAAAAAGTAGCTACTAAAAACCTATAAACAGACACTATATAAAGAAGAGAATAAAATTACAAAAATCAAATTGGGATACTGGATAAAATTTCCCCTTAAAAAGGCCCAATGTAAAAGCTTTCAAGAAATTTTCAATGACTGCCAGACTCATGCATTTTTAATATGGGAGGTTATACTTCTAATAAACACAGACTAGCAATGCTTACCTGCTTTAGTGCTTTCTTGCTGTGCTTCTGTGATGGAGAAATGACTTTACCTGCTGGAATGGTGGGTGATGGGCAACCTGACTGGGGAGAGGATGGCTGTGACAGTCTAGACGACACTAAGGGAAAAAGTGACAATGAAAGATTTTGTTATCACAGTTATTATCAAGCACCCTTCCTTCCCCCCTCATATGCAGCTATCTGTATTAAGAAGTGTGACCAAACACTTTTTGAAAAGGACCTATTCTGGAGTTCTACTGCAAACAGCCTCCCTTTTCAGTTTATTTCCTCAAAAAGCTCTGGTGAAGGATGACAGGATGGGAAAGGTATGGGTGCTAGTATTCATTATTTTTCATTCTTTAATTTTTCAACAGGTTTGGCTAAAGAAGCAGGAACATATATCATGAATCATCAAATTAGATAAAACTTAGAAAAGATTCTAAGGCCCTTCGGACAGTATCTACGTTCTCAAGATAAATCTAATGACAACATGATATGGTAGAAAAGCCTTGGACCGATAGTTTAAAATGAAGGAGTAAGGCCATACCACCTCAAAAATTTAACCACAGTTTTAATCCCTACATTCCTTTATTTCTTCATTTCTTAAATCAATAGTTTAGGCTTACTGGTATGAGGGCATTTTAAGATTTCTCCAATGAAAAAAATACAGGTTTGTACAGGATATAATCAATCAATAGCTGCAGAACTTAGCCAAACCAGCCTGAGTTCTTTAAGAGCCTGTACCTCTTATACATAGTAAGAAGTAGATCTTTATGTGCTATCAGGTTCAACAGTTGAGTATTATTTATAATGAAGAACACAGAAGTTGCAGTTTCAGATCCTTTACTTAAAAAAAAAAAATTATAATGACTCTCGTGATGACTCTTGAAGAATGCATGTTTACTAATGTCTTCCTCTTTTCAGTAGTTGGACTGAGTTTATGGCCATACCACTCTGAACGTGCCCAATCTTGTCAGTAGTTGGACTGAAAAGACCTGGATAGCAAATGGGCATCCCATGGTGAAGACCAATCAGCTTTAAGAGATAAAATTTGTACTAGCTACCTGATATGAAAACACAGAAACGTATTTACTGGAATATGCAAGTTTTCGAATACAGCATTTCAGTTTCTTAGATGTAAAAAGGAATATGCAGTAGATTCATTTAAAGAAGATGAGAGCAGATAACATTAAGATGAGGACTTACACTTAGCTTTAGCTCTGTACCCCAACCTTTCTGAAAAGGTTTAGATCCGGAAGACAGTTGATGTTTTTCAAAAAAGAGAATAAATTGTTTATTGTAATATACCATACAAAAATGGAATTGAGTAATTCTTCAGATAGTTGAGCAACAAAAAGATACTATACCCTCAGTGTACTTTAATCAAATTAAACAAACAAAAAAACACAGTCAGCACCCTAGCTTAGTGGCAGGCACCTGTAGTCCCAGCTAGTGGGAGGCAGAGGCAAGAGAATCGCTTAAGCCCAAGAGTCTGGGGTTGCTGTGAGCTGTGACACCATTGCACTCTACCCAAGGCAACAGCTTTAGATTCTTGTCAAAAAAAAAGAAAAAAAAAAAGAAACAAAGAAACAAAAAAACACCTTTATGGTATGAGATGTAATTTACATACCATAAAATTCACCTATTTAAAGCATAAAATTCAATACTGTTTCATATATTGACAAAGATAGCCATAATTAATTTTCATCGGCCGTTCTCCCAAATGCCATCCCTGTTAGCTGTCACTCATCTTTCCTCCCACTTAAGCTCCCTGTCCTAGGCAGTCACTAATCTACTTTCCATTATGGATTTTCTTATTATGGACATTTCATAAAACGGGATCATACATTATGTGCTCTTCTGGGAGTGGCTTTTTTTCACTCAGCACTTAGTTCTGAAGGTTTACCAATATTACGATGTGTATGAATATTTCCTTTTTAGAGTTGAATAATACTCTGTTTTATGCATATACTACATTATGTTTACGTATTAGCTTATGAACTTTGGATTGTTTCCACTTTTCAGCAATTATAAATGATGTTCTGAAGAACTTTTGGGTGCTGGTTTTAGTGTGTACATGCTTTTTTACTCTTGGGTTCATTCCTAGGAGCAAAACTGCTGGGTCTTACAGTAACACTCTGTTTAACTTTTTGAGGAACTGCTAAACTGTTTTTCAAAATGGCTGCTCTATTTTTTATAAAACAACTCCAGCACGCATGTATGAGGATTCCACTTTATCTACATGCTTGCTAACACTTATTATTGTCTGTCTTATTTGACTATTTTTTTAAGAGAACATAAAAATAAAAGCTAAAATTATTAATATTTAACTATGTTTGTTTTCTTTTGAATGTCTTGTGGTAGCTGGGCACAAGTGGTTCATGTCTATAATCCCAGCCCTCTGGGACGCCAAGTATTGCTTAAGTTCACGAGTTTGAGACGAGCCTGAGCAAGAGCAAGACCATCTGTACAAAAAAACAAAATAAAATTAGCCAGGCACATGCCTTTGGTCCTAACTCCTCAGGAGGCTGAGACAGGAGGATTACTTGAGCCCAGAAGTTTGAGGTTGCAATGAGCTACTCTAAGCAGGTGACAGAATGAGATCCTGTCTCCAAAAAAGGGAAAAGAAAGTCTTGTGGAAATCTGAGACAATATATTTTTCTTACCTGCTCCAAACACAGCCTGGTTATAAACAAAAACAAATAAAAATATCCCCACTACAAAATATAATAATTCTACTTTATAGGCTGGAAAAGAGACTACAAAGATATCTATAATTACCAGAACAAACTGCTTGGAATATTTCCCCTTAAGGCAAAAGCCCTTTCTAACAAACGAAACCACAAGCTAACTGAAATAAAGCATGAAAATTACAAGACCCACCAGTGATAAACATCTCCCGGAGTTGACTTAATGCCAAGTGCAGATTTCAACTTTTATGAAACTTAACATATTGACCGTCACACTAAAAAAATTTTTTTTCCTTAGGGCCATCTATGGTGTTTTACTAGGTCAAGAATTGTATGAGTAAAATATGTCTCACAAGGTCCTGGGCTCAAAACTAATGTAAGTTCAATACAACTCACATGGCAGTTAAGCACTGCTGTAATTTTTTTATATATTAAAGGCTTAGAACTACAAAAAGCAAACAAGACTTAAACACAAAAATTTAAACGCATGTTGAAAAACTTATATAATTTCTTTTAGTAGCAACACTAATTGTCTTTAAAGACACACAATTTTATTAATTACAGCAACCAAGTACCTTCCATTTGCCTAAAACTGTTCATTTTAACAGTTCATTGAACTCTCACAACTACCTTTCTATATATAGGGCAATTAATTGTCTTTGTACACTGCATCCCACCAAACTCCTCAAATTCTACTTCCAGAGATAACTAATAGTTTAGTTGTCATGTTTATGATATTTTTCTATGCAAGTAAAAATAAGAAAAAAAATTGAGGACATTTATATACAAATAAATCTCAAAGATACATATTCATCTACATATTATAATAGTATTATCTAAATTTCACATATCAGGAAATTTAATTAGTTTGCCAAAAGATACACATCTTGAAAGAGCCAAGATTTGAACTGTGTTATAAGAATGACAAATGGGTACACCTATAGAGGGTTGATAATGGTGGCCCCCAAAAAGGTATATCCACATCTTACTCCCCAGAGCCTGTGGGTATTACTTTATTTGGGAAAGGGTGTTAGCACATGTAATTAAGTTGAGGATTTTGGAACAAGAAGATCAATCTTGGATTATCTGAGTGGGCCAGAAATCCAACAAGTATCTTTATAAGACGGAGGGAGTGATGTGAAGACTAAGGCACAGACTGGAGTGATGTGATCACAAAGCAAGTAAGTCAGTCACCATCAAAAGCAGAAAAAGGAAGGAACAGACTAAAGCTTCTGTTGGGAGTGTGGCCCTAAGGATACCTGCCTTCCAGACTTCTGGCTTCCAGAACTGTGAGAAAATAAATCTGTTGGTTTACGCCATGTTGTGTTAACTTGTAAGCATAGAAAACTCATACATTACCTAAACTAATGAGTTCTCATAGATGTTTACACATTTCTAATTTTTAAATCAAAAGTAATTATTAAGCCTATCTAATGTTTAAACAAAAGATTTGGCACTCAAATAGTCCCATTTTGAGCCAGTGGGAACTCCGTCACATTGTAATCTGTCTTTGGGACAATGGCTTCAGCATTACTTCACTGCTTCCTTGCTATCTAGTGCGGAAAGAAGTCCTAGGCAAATACTGCACAACTTTTTCCCAAAACTAGATCAGTCCCTCCAAGAAGTCCTGATGTCTTTTACTTGTAAATGATATTGAAAGACCACACTTTACAAACTAGGAATGCTCATTGCTGCTGAGTTACACCACTAGTTTTAAGATTTTTCAGTGACTGAAACATGAAAACAAGTCTTCTTTTAGAGAAAAGAAAACTAAATTGATGCTTAGGTATCAAATTTGAATTTAAGATTATAGGTTTGTCACTCACTTTTCTAAATTTACTTTTTATTCTATTTCTTCTTCCCTAATAATCCTGGTTCCTAACAACACGACTATTAAGCATTAATTTGCTTTCTCTGACAGATCTAGTTTGAAAGAAACTATATCATTCTAATTATTAAATATAAGACCCCTAAATGCTGTTTAAGATTTCTTTGTGTCTGGTCTTTCACACATAAGATACACCCCATAGTAAGTTGTCCATGCCATTATGCCATGAACTTAAATACTTTAGGCTCCCTTCCTTAAATAAATTCCTAGAAAATTATCCTAGTTCGTCATTGTATCTCTATTCTCCAACAAAAAAATCCTTTTTTTTTTTTCAGACTGTCACTCTGTCACCTTGGGCAGACATATAGTATAGTATAAATCAATGGTTCTCAACCTTCCTAATGCCCTGGCCCTTTAATACAGTTCCTGTGGGTGGCAACCCACAGGTTGAGAAGTGCTAGTATAGATACTGTAATAGTTTTAATCATTTCTTTAAACAAAAGATCATATACAATTAAATGTCTACAATTTTAATTTTTTCACTTAATAGATCTTAGAGAATATCCTGGAAAGAACAAAGAGCTCTTCTATATTCCTTTAA